TGGTACTTGTTATGTCTGGGATGTACAGTTCATATTACAAGTATGTAACTGTATATTTGTGTAGATATGTATGTAACGAAATGTAATGTTATGTGTTTATTTTGATATTGTAAATATTATATATTATTTGTCTGTAAGGTTTATATAATAATAAAGAATTGACTGAATGAGATGGGGAGGTGTCCCGTCCGTGGTCAGCTCACCTAGTACCTACCTTGTTCAGCCCCTGTCCGGTCTCCTCAACCGGGAACCCATCTGACTTCACTGGGACAGCCTCTTCGTAGACTGGTTCTGGACCACGTAGGTTCACACTTACAACCTGGTCATCATCTAGGGCGGTGACTTCTGCCTTTAGTCCAGAGTGACTGTTGTCAGGCTCGGCATATGTGTGCCGGACTATGGTGTGGTCGGCAGGCAGGGAGTAAGTGTTCTCCAACTGGACCGGTTTGGCAGACGAAGATGGAGACATCACGGCAATGTTTGAAAGGTACCTAGTAATCAGATTATAAGAATACAAGTCATGTAGATTATAGAAACACGTTGATAAAGGTTAAACATCCAGGTAAGGCCACACTGACTTAATTTATGGATGACATCCTCTGAAGATCCCCAAACTTGTCTTTGAATTGTCCAGTAGTAGACTTTGAATTGTGCTTGAATTGTCCAGTAGTAGAGTTTGAATTGTCTTTGAATTGCCCAGTAGTAGAGTTTGAATTGTCTTGCCCAGTAGTCGAGTTTGAATTGTCTTTGAAAGACAACTCACAAAAAGAGGAATGAAAATTTATACAATTTTCAGCATATCTAACACCCTTGGCATATCATTTTATTTATGTGCATAACATATGGTGTCCCTCTTCCTTTAGCCAACCAACCAAAGGTTTCATTTTTTTTTCTTCAAGTGTAAGGCTTTTGCTTAAGATTTCATGCTAGGAAACTTGTTTACGTACATGGTACTATAGGGTTGTATCTCGTCATCTTCGGTTTCGTTGGATGCCTTTGGTTTCTTCGTGCGGACGAGCTTCAGTAGTGCCATGATCAGCGGCGAAATTCCGACCAGCGCCACCAGGACAGCGGTGATTACTTCAGAAGGCAACAAGACCAGGAAAATTTTTTTTAATAAATTTAAAAAAAAAATTAAAAATAAAAACTTTAAAAAATGAAAATTTTTTTTAGAAAAGTAAAAACAAAAGAAATGAAAAAGATATAGGGAAGTTATGAAAATGGCTTAAAGTTCGGGAAGAATACTCGCTTTGTACCCAGAAGGTCGTAAGTTTAAATCCCGGCTGGTCATACCTAAGACTTTAAGAATGGCACATACTGCTTTTTCTGCCTAACACTCACCGAGGAAGAGTGTGGGGATTGAAAACAAAACAGTACACACGGACTAGCCCCCTGTTGTTGACAAGACTACACCATCATAACATACTAACTTAAAAGGTTAAAAATAGTGACACTTAAAAAACACTTTTTTTACATGGCGGAGGCATGTGTTCCTCAAACTCTGGTTATATATAAAATATACTTAGGATGCTTAACGTACCTAAAGTACGCGAGTGAATAGCGTCAAATGTCCCCGTCGTCTTTGGCAGCTTTGCATTGAGCCATTTTATTGGTCGAGTAGAGAGCGACTCGGTCTGATAATTGGCGTTCGTCCCTATATTCTGGGACCCCATTGGGAGATTGTTTGGCTTTGCTGTACCCAAGAACCGCTGACTCCCTTGACCAAAATGTGACTCAAAGACTTCATCTCTGTCAGTGTGTAGTCGTCCAGTGTCCAAGATTGTGCACGTGGTCGGTTTGACTGTTTGTCCCAGCCTCTCGTGGTTCTCGAAGCGCTTTGCAGAGTTGTACATGTGTCGGTTTCCACGAGACAAGGCCTTGGTCAGGGGTTTGCTGGCAATGAACGGTGTGGTGACTTTGTTAGTCACTGTGGCTGTCATTGTGTCGGTCTTCCCATTGTTTTGTGGGTGGTACCGGGGGTAAATACCCCAAAAAAATCGGCAAAAGGGGTGCTGAAATTCGCAAAAAAATTTCACCTTGCGGGGTACCGTTTCCGGATTCACAAACCCTGTCTTTTTTGTATTCTTCTGGTTGACGCTGTCATTCTCTGTCGTTTCAGTTTCTCCTGATCCGGAACTCACGGCGCAGTCTGAAACAAACCGTTAGGAAACACACCATTAGTATGTCATTGGTATGAAGTACCTTTTATATACTAGTTGAGCCTTTATTACCTCCATGAAAAATGGAGGTATTGTTTTTGGTCTGTCTCTTTGTGTGTCTGTATATGTGCGTATGTGTCTATCGCATATTTGTGCGGAACTAGCCACATACATTAAGAATGCCTTTATGAATTGTGATGATCTTTGGTATGTAGGCAGGCCTTAGAGAGACAAAGGTCAAGGCCATATGGGCCTTCTGGTGGCTAACCTTGGTACTTGCTATTTTTTCAACTGAGTAGAGAAAACCATAAATCAAAACAAATAATGCTAGTTACAACCTTCTATCTATTAAATTGAATTAAAGAAATCCAAGAAAACATTTACTAGAGCTCCAAATATTTCATGGAGGACTGAGATCTCCAAATTCTTGTTTCAAACTGTATAGACTAACAACGTTTCGTGCATTTTACTTTTGTAAAAAAATTATCTCTAACATATTATTTTTAATACAGACACACACCACAGACACACACAAACACATGCATGGGTACATGGTTACACACACCCAATGTTCAGCACCAAGGACAGGCATGTATGCCTGTGTGTGGATGATGTTCAGCACCAAGGACAGGCATGTATGCCTGTGTGTGGATGGTGTTCAGCACCAAGGACAGGCATGTATGCCTGTGTGTGGATGGTGTTAAGCACCAAGGACAGGCATGTATGCCTGTGTGTGGATTCTGTTAACCACAAAGGACAGGCATTTACACGCAAGGTAGCACATAAGAAAACAATATCTTAATCTTCATGGAGGTAAAAAATGAGTCCTTACCAAGTGTGATGGACGACACTCGCAGGCCGGAGTTTTCTTGAGGGGTCACGCAAGTCATGCAGGGATTGGAACGTGTGACGGCTGCTGGGAAGGTCTTATAGGACATCAAGAAGTCACAGTCACACTTCCATGGGTTGTCACTCATGTAAACCTGCAAGAAAAAAGTCAGTCTGTGTCTTGAAAGGGCGTTTGCCTGATTTTTTTAGTGGCATCGCATTTGTAGAGTACCATCTGACACTGACTAAAAAGTTGTCCGGGCTGGGAATTCATCCTTTTCAACCTATACACCATTGTAGAGAGTACCATGGCATATTCTAAGCAACATTGGGGGCCGTGTATTTGATAGCAATGGAAATAATTCTTCTTGACGGAAACTTAAGTGACAGAGTTTTACTGATAAAAAAATAAAGCCCTGCCACATATAGCCAAATATGGCCTCCGAACACAGCTGAACTCCCCCCAAACATGGTTAGGAGTAGGTCGGGATGAGCGAGGTCGGCTGTGGTTGACTATTGGTTGGCTGTGCCAGCCAAATGGTTCAACTTTTTTTTTAAACATTCGGGTGTGTCCAAGAGGTCCGGTCATTGCTGTGTAGTGACTGGCTGGTGTTCGGGATCAAGTGTGACTCAAATAACCCCCAAAGTGGACTTGATTCACATATATAAAGGTAGGCGCGACCTAAAACTTGTCAGGCTGCTTCCAAATTTGTTCCGTCCATGGCTAGGGAAGGTTATGGGTGTGTAACAGGGCTTTAAGCTTTCACAAGCGTTCAAAAAGTTTACACTACTATAAAGAAACATGATTGTGTACCGTTTTAAGCGAAAGGTGGTGGCTGAAGACCCCTTCTGGAATGAAAGTCAACCTGTTGTGATTGATGCGTAGTTCCTTCAAAGAGGGGAGGAACTGGAAGGTGTCATTCGGAAGTGACGTCAGACGGTTTCTGGCCAAGCCCAAATAAGTCAGCAACGATTGTGCCTAGATAAGAAAAATTGTTATTTCAAGCAAGTATTATTCATTTTGTATCAGCAAGTGAACTAAATTGTATTCCACATAATCCATCATGATCAAGATAAACCTTCTCGAGTTATGCTGTTGACATGCACACACAGACACAGACATACACACACACATAACCATGATAACATAACTTTCTTTCAGAAGGGAGTAGTAATAAGTGAACATATGAGATCGCAGAACTCTGTCTTGTGGTACCTGCATATGTCGCCAGGGGAAGTCAGTCAGTTGGTTACCACCGAGGACCAGTGTCGTCATTTGGGGACATTCTTGAATGTGTCAGCTTCAATGTTGGTGATGAAGTTACGTCGAAGCAGCAGAATCTGTGCATTAAAATTTCCTTTTAGTTTTGAATCTCATTCTATAGATCAATTCTGACTATATTGCTGAATGATGACAAATGATAGAGGTACAACAAAAACAGAGAAAAAGAGGCTGATTTTCACCGTGAGAATGTCGGTTTTAAAACATACCTGTAAATCTTGTAGATTTGCCAAAGACCGATTGCCCAGCCTGGTGATGTGGTTATCGTTCAGGTCGATAGATGTCGTTCCATTCGGTAAGTCAGCTGGAAACCTCTGCATGTTCTCAGAAGCCAGGTTAACAGCAGTGGCTGGGTCGACACGTTCGGGAAATATTGGTCCAGGAGGACGCGAGTGACTCCAGCAAATATTATTTTTCCCTGGAAAAAAGAAGGCAATTTTGCGATGGCAGACTTCACTCCTTGACGTGACACTGCATGATCATGGGTTAAATTTGATGTATTTTTTTAAACCATGGTGCCCGATATCAGCCAAGTAACCCACTGTGTTGCGGCATTGCAATTTCAATAAAATGAACAAGAAATATGAGAGTCCATACCTTTGGGAATTGCGACAACGTCTGCTAAAAATTTCGGATATTACACTAACAGCAAATTTCGGCAGTAATTGGTCAAACAAATCTGAATTTGGGCGCACAATCGTCTCCATCCAATGGAAAGGCTATACAAGAATCATGATAAAGTCAATGTTGCTAAAACTTCGATGTGATACCTAAAACAACCTCCAGTATGATACCAGTAGCGAACACTTTTTTCAAAAAGATATTTTTTTAAAAAGACGCCAATATTTCTAAACCTTCATAAATATATCCTCAAACGAGAAAATTGTAATGAATATAAAAATAACAACGAAATTTGTTTGAAACTATCTAAGTATCTTCAGTAATTTTCCATTGGCCATATGACGTCATTTTCACAATCAAGCGATTTTCACAAAAACGCGCAGACGAGGATTTGGACGCTCCGTTAAAAATTGTCCAAAAACATTATTCTTTCCATTATTGCGTACAATTTTTCGTCAAAATATGCAGTTAAGGTCTTCTTCAACTGGGAGATTGAAACATTACGGTGCATTTTACGGTAATTTTACAACAAAAGTGCAGGGAAGAACGGACAACTGTGCGGCCGGGTCGAGTTTTACGTGGTGTGACGTAGGTAAGATTGTTGAACACTCTTCTGCCATTTCTGAGCGAACTTTGTAGCGTAAAAGTACCTTTAATTTGTTCACAACAGTCTAGAACATGTTTTATGTATGTTTGTCTTAAAATTCTGTGGTAATTTTCTGTCCTTTTGGGTATTTTTCATGGCAATTTCTGGGGGAAAACTCGGCAAACATTTTTGAATGCCTCTTGTTGTTT